ACCAAATCAAAGAGATTATTCTAAAGAATATTCGACCAAGAAAAAGGATGGCCATTACCGAATGAGCCAAGTTCTTGTCATTAAAATATTAATACAAGGAATCCATTATGAAATATCTGCACCGACTGCGAGACGACAGCAGATATTGTGAATTTCAACATTTAGGACAAGAAAAACGTCTATTGAAGAGGAATTGATTCAACTAAGATTGATAGAAGACATGTACAATATTTCGTATAGATTTAAAATGTTAGAACAGTTGCAATTAAACCAAATCTCGTTAGAGGCAAGTATCGAAATTATACAACAGGAAAAGTGATTGAAAAATTCAATAAGGAAAAAATCAACCCGACATTATGGACACGTACATGATAAAGAAAACAACAATAAAATGCTAATATTGTTACTATGAGCCTGAACCAAACAGAGGAAAATGACCGGCATGGGGAAAGATATGTAACAATTGTAAAAAGAAAAATCATTTTGTGTGTGTGTGTGTGTGTGTGTGTGTGTGAGATACCGGCAGCGATATAACGCTAATTCTGAAGAAGTTTTAGGAACAAATGCGTAAACCGAAACTATATAAAAGTCATTTGAAATTAAGACAGTTTAACTGGTCACGAATAAAGACATTAGGATACTTTGAAAGAACGTTTGAAACAAACATCAGGATCGAAATTGTTATTATAGTAGTTATGGACTGTAATAAAAGCTATGGCTTAATGGGAACAGATGTGCTTAAGGTTAATAGCGTGTGTCTAATTCATACTGTGAATTCAGACAATCTCGAAAATGGAATGATGAAAGATTATAAAGCAAGTATTAAATTAAAAGGAAATTGTTATCCCTCATATTTTGAATCTCGCACACTTCTAATCCACTTATTGCCCATGGTAGTTTTGAAACTATATAAAATGATTGAACAAAGTATTTTGGAACATGTAGAAGTAAGTGGGCATCATTTATAGCAGTTCTGAGAAAGCCCAATTGTGATCTTAGAATCCGTGGTGACTATAACTTAAGCATAAACCATAATATTTATTCAGATTCTTTTCTTGTCTCATTAGTTAGCAGGATTGAAATGCTTTACAAAATTGATCTAAAAAACGCATAACAACAAATTAAAATTAATGATAAATTTAAAGAAGCCCCCCCCTCATTCGGACTGCTTCAGTAGACTCGTATGTCTTCTTCTTTATGTACCGTGTCCCCTCAGTACGTATGTGATCGTGGCTCTTCACAATTTCCTGTCCTTTGTAGCTCTTAATAATTTTTGTCTTTTTTTTATTTCTCCTGAACCCTGTTCCACCATCCATTTACTCAATCTCATTAAGTATGTTTATGCGTTGTTTTCCTCTGTCCTTCTTGCCTTCAATCTGTTGTGTGAGTATCAGATTTTCATTTTTTAGCCTAGAAATTTTAACTGTCTCTCCCTGATGATAAGTATAAGTTTTTTTGTTTTTTTTTTCTTTCCATTTTCTCTAAAACTTCTTCGGTGCTCACATGTTCGGTACATGGTATATTCCACATCCTTCTGTAGAACCACATTTCTGTTACTTCAAGTCTTTTCTTCAACTTTGTGGAGATTGCCCAGCATTATACCAAATAAGAGGACAGATATCACATAACAGTTCAGTAGTCTATTCTTTGTTTCTAACGAAGATTTTTTGTCTCTTAATATTCTGCTTAGCTTTTGAAATGCATCTTTGGCTATGCCAATACGTCTTCGGATTTCATTGTCACACATTCCTTCTTCTGTTGGAACATATCCCAGATATTTATAAATTTGTACTTGTTTGATTTTGGTATCTCCAATTATTAATTTTCATTTTGGACTCATCCTTTTGCTAACAACCATGAAATTCAGTCTATGTTTATATTTAATCTTTTCTTCTCGTTTTCCTTCAGTACCTCTGCAGGAGCCATTGTAGTTTTCTTTCCGTGTCTCCTATCAACAGAATATCATCTACATATCTTATGCTGTTAAGATTGTGGTCACCAACAATGAATCCTAGTAGGACTTCGAATTCTCTCTCAGAATTGCCTCGTTGTGTAGGCTGAATGATTCGGGTGAGAAGACACACCCTTGTCTTACACCCATTTCTGTTTTTGTATATCTGCAGAACTCATTTTCTATCCGAATGCAGGCGGTTTGCTGCCAATATAGGTTCTTGATTATTCTAATATCCTTCCCAAATATATCAAGGTTGCTGAGCAGTACTAATAGATCTTTGCGGCGTACTTTATCGAACGCCTTTTTGTAATGTATAAAACACAGGTTCACGTCCTTCTACATTTCTATTGCTCTTTGTGATAACATTCTGAGCATAAATATCGCATTCTTGTTTCAGTGATTTTACGAATACACACTGTTCTTGTCCTATTTCCTGTCTGATTCTGCTGGTAATAGCATAATAATAATAATAACGATGTTATATGAACAAAGCTTGTTAAGGATAGGTCGGACAAATCCCGACCAGCCCAATGAATAAACAAGCTTTCGTTCATCATTCTAATAATATGAGTTGGAAGGAATAATAATGTTAAAAATCTGATGGTTACAATTGATTATTTTCATGCTATATATCTTTGTTACAAGCCCATAAACTGAATTAAATAAACTTGGCGCTTCTTAAAGTCACATGAACAAAGTTTAATGGGGCCAACTAAATCTTATTGAATTTAGCTCGACCCGTTGAAACGAACAAACTCTAACACAAAGCTTGAACCGTAAATACCGTTTACTAACCAGATGTAAATATAAGCAAGTGTTTCCCGTTATCATTCTTGTTTTTACTTACCTTTATTACGCTGTAGGTAAGTATTTTCACTAAGCAAAATGTTAATCCTGTCAATGCAAGTTGAATTTGAATTACTTGGTTGTGTAGTCATTTCCTAATATGGCAACAGCTAAAACAATCTTGACTGAAATTGAGAACCAGGCTACTACAATTTCAAATATACAGAACTAATATATAAAAAAAACTATATTTTGATGGGGATTCCAAATACATTAAAAGGGGAAGTAATATTTATAAATGATTCAGAGTGCTAAATGTTTTTGACAGTTTTTCATGAATAAGAATTTTTGTTTTACTATTTTTCACATTATTCCCTCTAATGTAAAAAAAAGATGTGAGGCTTGAGGCTAGCAAATCCCTGTTGCAGACACCCACAGGGACCATGTGGCTTATAATACAACCATGCTGAGCAAACCTTAGTTACAATTTCTAGGCAAGAGCAAATAATATGGCGTGATCACATCTTTGGTGACTTCGTGCTAGCACAGCCATGGTTTTGAGTCTACCCTATTTCAATTACAAGACTTGGGTCAACTCGTGGAGTATGGTTTTCAGAAAACCATGTTATTAATTATTTAGTCTGGATGAAACAAAAACAATATAACAAAGTGTTGAGGGGTTCTCCCCTTTTTACACAAATGAACTCACCCAGTGTATACTTATACTACTGCCAGTGAAGACCCGAGAGAGCAAGACCGAGGAGTCGAGACAGAGTGACAGAGTAAAAGGTTGTAGGTAACCGGAAGAGTGAGGGTGAGGTAACAATCGTTGTAGGAGTCACAGTGAGCGAGCACGTAGACTCAGTAAGAAGTCATACAGCGATACTTCAATACCAAAGACTGTATATATATTTTGCTACTAATCCGTATTCCTGGAACTACTAACTTGCATTACCAGTTTGCATTATTACGTTAATACATTATTTTCCTGTATTCATTCTTGGCGTTTGTTATTTATTGGTACCGGATTTCAACCCGGAATCCACAACACAAAGCATTAAAAATTAAATCATAATAATTAAATAATTTAATACATTAATTATTTTATTTAAAAATATTACTTATCTTATTAAAATATTATTTAATTACTAAACAAAATATTACTTTTTTGACTTAAAATTCAAAAACAATTCCAGTAAGATGAATTCCATATATACTATATAGATGTTTTGTAATACAAATACCCTAATATGTTGGGTTATATTCGTATAAGGACAATGACATTAAAAAGTACACGTGAAGCAGTGCCATTTAAAAGTGACTTTGTAAACTGGGTTTCTTGTCTGCTATGTATGAAACTATTAAACAAAAACTTTTCCTAGCCATCCCTGCAAATTCTGATATAAAAAGCATAAAAAGGGTTATCTCCACCGAATTGTATTCCATCAAGAAAGAAATATTTGTGGAAAGAAAGAAACAATTAATTCCATAAGATATTAAAGAAATTTTCTATAAAACGAAAGTGTTGGAATTCATGTTTAAGTGAAATCAGTGTTTATTTCTTATAAATATGGATGCAATTTTTATGCCAGTGCAACGGACCATGCCTAAAAACACACGTAAACCGAGAGATACCTTATTCCTAAAATTTCGCTTGAAGATGAAACGGGACTAAACACCACAATTCAACTTAATATTAATAATTATTTGGATGGTTTCGGCTCTCGTTTTTGAAACATGAGAACTTTTATGTAGCGAAGGAATCCTATTTTTAAACAAAAATATTATATATATATATATATATATATATATATGTGTGTGTGTGTGCGTGTGTGTGTGTGCGTGTATGTATATAGTTTATATTGATGGATATGTGTGCAATTATGCGTGTGAGAGTGTATGTATATGCATCTAATTTTCATTATTATGTATGACGTTTTTTGAGTACTAAATGACAAAATGTTGTGTGTATTTGCTTGTTAAGCATTTTCATGTATGAAAAGAAAATTTAAATAAATAAAAAAGAAACATAGAAATGACTAACTCTTATTGTTTTTTCAAGTACTTTTCTTATATTTTCCTTGCAGGACTTTCTGCCTGGTAATTAAATCATCGACAAATCCATTCTTTAACCAATACAATTTTTGACGTCATTATAATGCGCTTATAGCAATTTTCTAAAACAAACAATGTGATTTCTCTCAACTGATATGCTTTCAGTTTCAATGTCATCTTTTTCTTTTCAGCCCGTGGTCTCGGAATGCGAGTGGTTGGCGGGAAGCTCGGCGAAGACAACCGTTTAGGTGCCTACGTGCGAAGTGTTGAAAGTGGAGGACCTGCCGATCTTCAAGGCAACATACGAGAAGGTCAGTTGGTAATTATTTTTATTTCGTTTGGCTTCGTAATAATATCAAAACATTCCAGATGAAGTTGAGTAAAATCTGGTTTGGATTTCAATATCTCAGTTTTTATGGGAAAACATTTGGATGAGTCATAAGTAATTTCCGTTTGGAATCTGGGAATCAATTGTAATGATGAATATATGTTCCTAACTACTAATCGTTCATGTAAGTTAAATGGAGTACACTATATATACGAGGGTCATTCAATAAATAAGGTGAATTTTTCGGTATAAGGACTTCTAATACATAGAAGCTTACTTTTTTTTATTATTTTTCAACGTAGTCTCCCAGCACTGTCACACACTTTTCCCATCTGTGCACAAGCTTCCGTATTCCCTCAGCGTAAAAATCTTTGGACTGATGTCTCAGCCAGTCGCTCACAACACTTTTGACTTCATCGTCACTTTTAAACTTCGTGCTTCTCATGAATGCTTTCAAGGGACCAAACAGGTGAAAATCTGAAGGGGCAAGGTCTGGGCTGTAAGGGGGATGAGGGAGCAGTTCCCAGCCCAGCTTGTTGATGGTCTGCACCGTTTGGGCTGCTGTGTGAGGCCTTGCGTTGTCATGATGCAAGATGACTCCTTGTGACTGATGACCCCCTGCGTTTGTTCTTTATGTCTTTCTTGACCTGCCTCAGCAGTTCACAGTAGTTCTTCTGTCAGACTGAATAAGGTCATTGACTGATTCGATCAATGTAATTATACTTTCCTTTTTGAACCCAAAAACTTGACAAACAAAAATGGAAATTATTTACCATTATAGAAATGTTAAGATATTATCGGACAATTCAAGGAATTTGAAGCGTCTTAGATTTACTCACAGAAATGTAGTTTAAATTCGTATCAGAGCGACTAAAATTATTACACGATAATGTTTAATTGTTGGTATGTTTATATTTTGTAAAAGGTGTTCTTATGATTCTTAGATTGGTTAAATTTAAGCTGATGTAGAATTTCCCAGCACAACTTTTGATATTGGGGAAGTCTTACAAATATCTTTCAATTCTATTCAGCTCTTTATTTTATGAGCAATCACTTTATTAAAGTCTGTCGTTTATAAACCTTAGGAAGCATTTAGGAGCTAAAATAATATGAACAGATGAAAAGAAGCATCTATCGCTATTTAAACATCCTGATTATTTTTTTTCTCCTCTTGAACACATGGTTGGTGGGGCTTCTGTGATTTTAGTCGTAAGTAGGTTTTACGAGGTGGAATTGTTCGACCCACATCCAACCGGTTTCAAATTCAGAGTTGCCATTCTCGTACTCTGCCCGCTGAAGAAGGAAGAGATGCATTTATACTTTGTCGCGAAGACATTTGTGGGAAACCTTGCTCGTCGATCCTACATTCCACGCCCATAAACGCTAAGCTACACTCACGAAATAATAATAATAATAATAATAATAATCGAAACGGTTGCATTATGCTAATCCAAAATGAATTAATTGATTAATTTCTTTTCCACGGCTTATCAACTCTTTGTGGGTTATTTAAAACCAAACCATATTTTTGATTCTAAGAATAACTTTTTGCGAGTAGATATTGAACATTGAAGTCAACAGTTAGAGGCGACCGGCTGTTTCATGCTAGACGCAATCGTCAGGCCTGACGATTCTAAGTGTAGACTTCAATGTTCACTTTTATATTTACACGCGCTCTATCTCTGATATTGAGCACTTTATCACATAAATATAGCACACCTTAAGAGTATATTTCTTCATATATTATTATTATTATTATTATTATTATTATTATTATTATTATTATTAAATATAACAGACACTGAATGTCTATTATGTCTGATCATAAGCCGTTCTAATGTTTGAATGTTTGCTTTAATTTCTGGAGAAAGTAAAGACAAAAATTGTCCCACATTTGGATATTTTTAATCAATTTGGTCCTAAGCTTTCGGCTCGCATGGGCCATCCTCGGAGTGGTTATATAGACATGAAACAAAGATATCCACCGTCAAAGATGATATTCTGTTATTTTGACGTAGAAGTTTGCTATGCGACGATAACTGTCGCGTAATAGCAGACGCAGGTCATAAGTTCATGATGCGGTTCTAGAATATCATACTAGTGGGAGACCGAAATATTAACAATAGAATCATATGTCTAGATGCAACGTAATGTGTTGTGACTAGTTTGAAATGTAATTTTGTTGGGTGTTGTTTGCTTCGTTTTAATGTAGATGGCCTCCAATAACTGAAAGTTCTTATTGCTGTGTGTATCCGTGAGTGTTATTATGTTATCAACTAATATCTGTCTAATATTATGTTTTTCTGTTATTTTGTTTCATGTCTGTATAACTATATATATATATATATATATATATATATGTGTGTGTGTGTGTGTGTGTGTGTGTGTATGTGTGTGTGATAGAATTCCTCTTAGTAAAGCCAATCATTCATATTAATGGTAGGTATATAATGTGTATATGTTCATATTTGATTATTAGAGGATATCCATAAATACTGTTTAAAAAATAAACGGAGCATCTACTCAAATATGGATATCCTCTAAGAAAATAACATTTCTAGCGTGATAAATATATATCTGATTAATAAATAAAAATACATTACTTCTTTAGAAATTGCTATATCTGTGTGTATCTGTGTGTGTGTATTTACGTTAAAAACTAGAGATTGCCAGAAATCTTTACTTAGCTTGACGTAGCTTAGCACAAATCCACAAATACAGGTTACCCAGTCAGAGTCGAAATATGGAATTGCCTATTATTCAATAGCAGGTATATTTACATATTTTACTAAGCTTAACTGAGTTTAGTCACAAAGCTTGAGCCCTTTTGACAATCGAACTCATTAAAAGAACTATAGTTTGTCCTATACTTAGAGATGTTTACTTTTACTTGTATTTGAATATATATATACTTACTTATATTTGTATCTCTCTCTCTCTCTCCATATATATATATATATATATGTGTGTGTGTGTGTGTGTGTGTGTGTGTGTGTGTGTGTGTGTGTGTGATAGAATTCCTCTTAGTAAAGCCAATGATATTAATAGTAAGTATATAACGTGTGCATGTTCATATTTGCTTATTTGTTTTGATGATTGTCTTTAGCCTATCTTTCATTGCCTTGTGCCTTTTTTTTGCAGGGGATCAAATATTGACATGGGATGGTCAGTCGTTAGTGGACGTGACGTACGAAGAAGCCCAGGAAATTATGGACCGGTCTGGTAACATTGTTCAAATTGTCATTTGGCATCGACCAATCACGTGAGTACTTTCATCTGTCTGTTTCATTTAGAGACGATTCCGTTTTATTGACTGTCGACTTCAATGGAGATCACACGATGTGGTCCCTATCGCCGCGTCTGTATAATTATGTATTAAGATATGTCGGTATGCATAACTAAGACGACCTCGGTTCGTTAATTACTGCAACCAGTTCTTCTTATATAAATTTACTGTCTTGTAATTGCAAACCATTGTCAAGCAGGAGGTAAAAGCACGGAAAAAGATGGATGAGGAAAATTCCGCTAGTAATTGTTAAAATACCAGCCATCAAGTGTTAGACAGTGAAGATAATGTGTTGAACTAAATTCGATGCCTGATCGTCTGTGTCACGTGACGTCTTCAACTATGCTTTCACTTTGTACAGGAAAGCTGAGTATATCAGAGACTGAAACGATTTTATTGAGTCTTGCTAATTATAGAATAAAAAAAGTAATATCAAGTGCCATCTTTGGCATGGTGCAATGGTTAGTGAGATAGTCTCGTAGATTATGACAAATGTAGAGAGTTCAAGCCACGTAGGTATCTCACACTTTTGGCTTTGTGCCTGACTAAACTACGCTTACTAAATATCAACGGTGAATAGAAATTGTTATCACAAGTTCAAATTAGAGGAAATTGACTTAGAAAGATTGTGTTACACAAAATCTCTATATAGACAGAGCCTACCAACTTTGAAAATCAATATTCAAAACTCTTCTTTTTTTTTATTCAATTAGGTTGCATACTTAGCCTCCTGTACCGTTAGATACACAAGTATTTAGCCCGTCAAGAAGAATGATAATTTATTAAACGCAATTATGTCCAGCGCATGATGACATTCGCAGGGCAATCATTTAGGATTGAACTCGTTATATGAGAGAATTAGGCTTCACCTGTAATTATCTCATATCCCTTCAAGACGTAAATGATCATAACTCTTCACAGGTTCCTTTTATAATCTGTGTATTGACATGCATCCTTGGTAAAGATAGTTGAATGGTTTCTTTCTCTGAGGTTTGAATCTACAGTCCCCCTTTTCCTTTTATTTGGGTTTCTATCTACAGCAAGAAAAATCAAGTTTACATTACATGAGAGGAAAAAGGGGTCGCGGATTCAAGCTTTTCCCGAGAGCATTAATACAAAAAATGAACGCAACAGACGAGGCTGCAATTTTAACCTGGCTCGCCAGTTTTTCCTCTCCGCGTGAATAACCATTACACAAGCCACTCCCCATCGTGTGACAAACAGAACTTTTGATGCGAGATATATGAGCGATTACGTTGTAGAAAAAGTTTTAATTTAAAATTAAATTTGATTGTAAAAGTTGAAAAAAAAATAGTTTCGCTATATAGTTTTATTTATGTTAAGTGATCACTTGAGGATTTTCAACAGCAGCAACAACTAAAATGGATAGCACATATAATTCGAAGAGAAAATAATAACTAAGATGTTGACGTTCCAAATTATCTCAAACGAAAACTATGAAGGAAACGCTCCATCAAAACTGGAAGGAGCGATAACACATACTGGATTTGGGAAACTTATTTTCCTGAAAAATTATTTTAGAGAAAGATTTTATTAATTAGAATCAATGGTAGTAATGGCTTCTCGGTCAATGAATGCTAAATATTTCCTTATAAGGAAATGGTTAATATCACCATCGCTATTAATATTCTCATTACCATCCCATAAGTATTGTCCGAAATCTAATTGCGGTAGACTGAATGATAATAAGGCGCAATCATGAAAAAGCATCTTGGATTAGTTCAGAGTAAAACTGTAATTATCCATCAAAAGAATGTTAGATTACTTACTTTTTAGTGATAAAGCAAAAATGTTACACTTTGGATAGGAAATTTCGTCTCGACCACTTTGGAGACCACATTGGATATCAAATTTTCATATTACTATGTATTCTTGTTTTTAGAGAATTCTCTTGAGGAAAACACGTTTACTTCCCTGGAAAACTGAAAAAGTATTTTCAGAAATTCTTTTCACAGACAATATCTCCTGAAATTATAAAACTATCATTTCCTAACTAGATCCTTACAAATCATTCGGATTTGACGGAATCCCTGGAATTGTCTTAAAGTAATGTGCTCCTGAACTGGCTCCTGTTCTCCCCAAACTTTACAATAAATGCCTTGCTGCTTCTTGCTTTCTAGTTTGTTGGAAGTCCTCCTCCGTAATTTCTATCTAAGAACTTACGATCCCTTAAATTATTACACTATTACTTCTTTCTGGCAAAGTACTTTAGGCTCTAATCAACGCTGAACTTGTTAAACATCTCATCTCACATGGCCTTATTTCGGATAAACGATATGGTTTTCGTTTTTCTCAGTCTGCAGCCGATGTGTTTACAGTTATTACTGAATTTGTCTATCAGGTTTTAGGGAACGAACGGTGAGGTTTAGGTTGAAGGTTTAGTTATTCCGAAGACGTTTCACAGGTTTGGTATCCTGGCCTTTTGCTTTCTTCACATGCTCAGTGGCTATGATGTTTCTGGGCGAATGTTTGTCTTAATTCAATTGTTTTTAACAAATCATGTAATAAAGGTTGTGTGGAACGGACACGCTTCTAAATTATTTCGCATTAATACGGCGTCCCCCAGAGCTCTATCCTTAGACTTACGTTGCTTTTCATCTTCATCAACGATTTTTTTCCGATGTTCTCAACTAGGTATTTATACTGATGAAACAACTGTTTAATATTTACTCCTGTCTTCGTAGTAAGTCCGATACGTCCGACAAAATAAAACTGGCAGCTGCTGTCTAAAATGATTTCTAATCAGTGGTTAACTGGGGCAGAGAATGACTTGTAAATCTGAACACCTACAAAAAGAAACCGCTATCATTTAATCATCATCGAGAACTTTTTCTGATTTCCCTCAGTATGGCTGATGCTAACCTACAGAGGTCTTGGACTCACGTTTTCTACTGAAATGAAACGGAGTGATTATATTTAATCAATTACTAGGTCTACTACTAGGAAAGATGGTTTACGCTTTCGTGCTAGATAATTTTCTCATCAGAATCTATCTTTATAAATCTATCATTCGTTTGTGCATTGATTATTACTGTCATATTTGTTCTGGGGATTCTGCCATATATCTTGAAGTTCTCGAAAAATCCGAAGAAGTGTCTGTAATGTAATCAGTCCTGATGTAACGTCACGACTTCAGTCACTTTCCTACCACCGTGACTTAGCTTCTCTGTCATTTTTTATAAATATTTTCATAGCAGTTGTTCTGATGAGCTTTCCTCCTTGGTACCTCGACAAGATGAATTTAGAAGTACTACTAGATTAGCAAATATGTATCAACGTTTTACCGTTGAACTAACTCTATGTAACCGGAAGTTCTATTCTAATAGTTTCTTTTTCGCACTTCCCGCCTGTAGAGCTTTCTTCCGGTTACTTTCTTCCTTGCCACCTACAATATTAAAAAAAAAAAAAAAAAAAAAAAAAAAAAAAACGCCATCGTCTCTCTTCCTGAATTCTGTTCTTTTATTGTCCGTTCTTATCACTAAAATCTTCTCATTCACTTTTATTCACAGTAACAAATTGCGTCTTGTTTGGAGGTGAAATAGTTCTAAAAAATGGAAAAAAAGAGGGTCGGTGAACGATAAATATGTTGTTCAAATTAATATAGAAAGTATTTTATGTTTACTATAATTACCGAATGTTAAGGGGCATTTTCTTCATGAATAATGACTTCAAAAACACCCTGCCTCTTAGCACTGAAAGGTCAAGTTGTAGAGAGGAATTTGCCAACCCTCACGAACCATAGTCACGTGATACAAGCAATTACGAACCCCAGGGGTATAGTATAAACCTACAATTATCATTCATATATAAAAAATACCATATATCCTGTTAGTATCATACCATATATATAAAGATTTATTTTTTCGAGTATTGATGATAGCCTGTAGTCAGCTTCCCAAAGGTACTGAGAGCCATTCGTTCATTTAGGCATACCGTACAGTATCTTCACAAATCTCAACCCCAGTGCGGACTGTGACCGTGACGATGCAAAAGAAAAACCCGGTTTGTGCTCTTGAACGCAGCCCTGAAACATCAGCTGGGAGTTGGATGTAAAGATGCCGTGTGTTGAGACGCCTTGTGGCTTGTAGCAGCACGAGTTTTGAATAGGCATAATATTGTGCTAAACTATTGAAAATCTAATTAGCAATAATTACAGATATTTAGTAATAGGTCCAAAATGTGATGAATTGTTGGGACAGAAGGAAAAATGGCACCGTGGAGTCGGTAAGCTGGACTTGCTAGTACAGTAAGCTATTAAATCCTCAAATATATTTCCCGAAAATGCCTAGCTAGTTATAAGGTGCGTTTTGCTACTTGTAGCGTCTTACTACGTGTACGCATGCGCAGAAAATGTGGTATTTAAACTGAATAGATATTTTGGTCACCCAAAGAAAGAATTAATAACTGCACGGCAATTGCATACATCGTGTGTGCATAGTTTGACCCAAAAAATTAACAGTGTTTCGTTAATTAATATTTTTTAATATCCATTATTTCATAGAAACATAAGCGAAATCTTTATAGATGTTTTAACGATTCTTTCAATCGTCGACCAGTGCACATGAAAAAGACACAACCGAAGTACATTGGTTACATTATTCTTCCACTTCACACAGTATTCAAGCTTTTCATCATGATTGATGCGGCTGCATTAATAAAATATCGAAATTAGCCTCTACATATCATCATAATGTCATTAGATTGTCTTGTTTCAAAGATCATGACAGATTAGAAATAAATGAACCTGTGTATCAACTAGGTGACAAGGATCATTTAGAAAGTTTCAACTCTCACTCTCTTTCTAGTTTTTATTCTTTTTCATCAATTTATAGAATTTGTGGTTGGCAAGTTCACTGTTTATTCAGCGCCCTCTAGTGTCAACGCTAATTTGTAATTATAACTACACGACAAATAACGTCCAAAGAGAATTTAATAAAGTAACTGATTACTTTTCTGTTGAATATGCACACACACACACACACACACACACACATATATATATATATATATATATATATATATATATATATATAAGGTGTGCTATATTTATGGGATAAAGTGCTCAATATCAGAGATACAGCGCATGTAAATACAAAAGGGAACATTGAAGTCAACACACAGAGGCTACAGGATGTTTTATGCTAGACACAATCGCCAGGTCGCGAGTGTTGGTCGACTATTTATATATACGAGTCCGTGATGCAGACCAAAATAAATTACTAAATAAACGATCTGAGCTCATCTCAAAATGCAGACATGAAAACAATTTTTTACTACTTAACTTAAAAATCGAAGACTGAAAAGAACAAATAAAAATAAACAAAATAATAATAAAAGACAATTAAAATAAATTAACCCAATCAAATAATAAACAAATTAACAAACCATTCCTGTTAGAATAGACGAAATAGAATAAATAAAAATAAAAATAAATACATAAAAAAGTAAAAATAATCAATCCAAATAAAGAAATAAAGTAAATAATAAACATCGAAAACCGAAAATAGTAAAAAAATATATAAATATATACAAAATAAAAAATAAGTATATAAATTAATCCAAATAAATAAATAAGCAAATTAACAAACCGCTACCGCTAAAATAACCGTCAGAACAAATAAAAATAAATAAGCAAAGCAAGCAAATAATCAATCTAAATAAAATAAACAAATTAAAAACTGCCCCTGCCAAAATAACAGAATAGACTACAGCAATCATTCTAAAAATAGGACGAAAAAATAGATTTAATTATCTTCCCAGATCAAACTATTAAATAAACGACCTAAGCAAATCCCCAAAAAACTTTTTACTACGTTAATAAAACATCCAAAACCGAAAAGAATAAATAAATATATAAAATAAAAAATGTAAATAGATAAAAACAAGTAAAATAAATTAACCCAAATAAGTAAATAAACAAGCTAATCCCGCCAAAATAACTGCCAGAATATACTAGACAACACACAATGCACCACGGACCCGTATACATAAATAGTCGAGAAAAAAGCCAACACACGCGGCCTAACGATTGCGTCTAGCATGAAACAGCCTGTCGCCTCTGAGTGTCGACTTCAATGTTCACATATATGTGTGTGTGTGTATTTGTGTGTGTGTGTGTGTGTGTGTGTGTAAATGTTCTCAGAATCTACCTGTAGAAAAGACAAATTGAATAAAATAGACAATAGGAAAATAGTACTTACTTTTTGCCGACGCGTTTCGTCATCCGACTTTATCAAGGCATGTGATGATAAACAAAAACACAGACTTAGTCAAAAAGAAAAAGTTACTAATATCCAAAAAGGGACTGTCGAAATCCGTACATATTGTGCGAACTACAATTTTCGGACTGAGTACAAAGAACTGGTGAGCATAGTGTGTCAAACGACTCTCCTAGGCTTGTAATTCTTAGTCATTCTTCTAGACTGGTTGCCAACTTTCCTTATATATATATATATATATATATATATATATATATATATATATATATATATATATATATATATATAGTTGTATTGATGTGAGTTTGTGACCCTAGGATCACGCTTTTGCGATCGTCTGACGCAAAAGCATGAACCCAGGGTCACAAACTCACATCAATCCAACTAAATATATTAGCTCTATCACTGATATTGAGCGCTTTCCAATAAGTACCGCGTATATATAATATATAAATAATATATCTTATAAATTGCATATATATATTTATATACTTACACAGTTCACACACACACAGATATATATATATATATATATATATATATATATATATATATATATATATATATATATATATATATATATTTTTAAATTAAGTCATTTACGCGGCATGCAAGGCAGTAAGGCGAGTAAGATGTAAGACAATACTGGGTGTGAAAAGAATTAGAAAACGGAAACATTATTAAAGAGCGGGGACAATACAAATGTAATCAGGTATACAGTATAAAGACAGTAATAACAGGAAGACAGTAGATAACGATAGTTATTACATTTTAATTTTGGGATATTAAAGTTGCCTGGAAAGCATAGAGCCGGGTGTCTGTTCCACAAGCGAGAAATGCAGAAAAAAGAAACTCTTAGCATAGAACTTACGGTAACATCTAGACATTTCAACTTTACTTTGATGTGACTTTGTTGCCAATCTAGTACTACGCTTAAATTCATAAAGTCCTGGTACCATAGTAAAAAAAAATCTCCCGAACGATTACCATGAAAATATTTATAGAAAAGGCACGGAGAGAAGAAACTTTAGGGCCTGACCGAAGCCGAGAAGCCAGGTCAAGAACAATAATATTGCTGATTCTTCTTTGCATTTTAACAAGAATCTCTAAATATATAGCAGGAGCACCGTGTCATATTCTAAGCATGGGACAATAGTAGACTTATATATCTAAGATAAAAAAAAATTGTCTAGCACGATACAATGAAGAAAATTTTAGCTGCAGATCTAGCAATGGATTCAGTATAGTTTTTTCACTTCATGTCAGCCGAGATTGTTAAGCCGAAAAAGCGCAACGAGTCACTCAAAACAATATATATATATATATATATATATATATATATAAGATTTTTAACTGGATATTCTGGGGCAGCATTTTTTTTTCATTTTCTAGCCAAAAGTACTGAGACGAAAATATATTTTCAAATATGAACCTGAAATCAAGAAAATAATCAGGAACATCGAAAAAATGAATAAAAATAATCAACCACTCACGTTTTTGATATTTAACCAAAATTGTATATATAAACCTGTGTGTTGTTGGTGGTGGTGTGTGTGTGCGTGTGTGGTTTAGAAAATATATGTGTGATATATACATTTATGATATATATATGTGTGAAAATATATGTGTGATATATATATATATATATATATATATATATATATATATATATATATATATTACAAGCAATAATCGTAAAGGATACATATAGATCTTTTTGTTTATCTTTAGGGAAGAGGACACTGTTGGACCGACAGCTGCAGAACGGCGAGAGAAGTTCCAAAAAGCTGGTAAGTGACAGTTATTATGTGCAAGTGCCATAAATGCCCATGTTTTCAGACACTTCTCGGCAATACCGAACGCTTAAATCGTCTTCCTAGTCAGTTATTATCAAGATGTCACGTCCTTGACAAGTCAACCACGGTGTGATTCGAACTCGGATCTAATTCTCGGAATCCATCATATATGCCTAATCTCATACAACTATTCCATCAGATAGTCAAATATCTTCCTAAATATACAAAACTGTTTAACACATCCATGCACAATTAAATAACACACAATATTCGCAATTATCTATTCCACCATATGCAACATTTTCTAGCCAACCGTATACACAAATATCTAATTATATAGAAGCCAATTTACTCTACCAAAACTATATCAACGATTCATATACAGGGTGCGATGTATAAATTGACGTCTAAATTAAGCAAAAAACGAAAATAACACGGACACCTCATTTTAACAGATACATTTACCAACATTACACAAAAATATCTTGACATACTAAAGAGTGAATTTATTCAATAAAATTGTCATTGACTTCAACCCCGGCCTCCAGACGACTTCGGAATCTCTCTAATTTTGTTGGTCTCTCGTTCAACTGCGCACGTAATAATCAAGAGGTTTGCAGCCTGGGGAGTTAGGTGGCCAGATGTAAGGGGTGATGTGGTCACAGAAATTGTCTGACAGCCATGACTGGGCTCTCCTGCGTGTGTGACATGGTGCAGAGTCCTGTTTCCATATATAGGGTCTTCCAGCAGCCACCCTCTTGACCCAGAGCAGCACTACCTCCTCAAGGCACATGATGTAGGCCTCCATGTGGGAAGATGAATGGAGGTATAACGTCGCCATGACTAGTGATCACTCCAAACATCATGATATTGACTGGATATATCATCCAAATCTTTCCTAATCCTCTGCACTGTCCTCAGATTGACACACAAAATCTCTGAAATGCTCGTATTGGATCTTTTGGCGCAAATGCTATGCAGTACATCAAACTGTTTTCAAATTTCTGGCAGAATGAATTGTGTCATAGTGCTCGTTTTCTCACAGATGGTGCCCAACTGACCCTACTATACTGTGCAGTCGACAAAATCAAAAACAAACAACACGCATGCGCGAAATTAAGCATATAAAATGGCCACAATTTACTCATCGCACCCTGTAATAATAATATCTAATAATTCATACGTATATTTGAAATAATATATACATTAGATACCAAATACATAACTAGCTAACATGTGATATTAACTACTATCTAACCCACAATATCAAGCGCTATCTAATCGAAACCAGACAGAACCTATCTAATTCAATATATACACTACTATCTAACCAATGTGGGCATGTGGCTGAGTGGTTGGAACATTCGCTTTCCGAAGACTCGGGTTAAAATCTCAATGATTTGGCAGGAAAGTGACTTCTTGATGTCATCGGCGTGCGACACCTTTGGAAAGTTGCTGAAAACTATACCACAGTTTGAAACTGGGTAGTGAAATTGGCTAGCCGGAACTATTTGGTGGTCGTTGATGGTTGTGTTAGCACTAAGTCACAAGTCATCGTAACCGAGCGTTTGAATGTACTGGCGTTGTTTTGAATGTTGACCAGGCCTTATAATGCGCTCTCTTCCAGAAACCGTAACTAAGGTCCGATCAGCATAGTTGCAGTATAAATCACAAGTGGATTTTGAACAAATAAAGATAGGTTTGAGCAGACGCCTGCAGTAGAGATTGGTTAGCCGTCCTTGTAGACATGCATATTCAGATACGAACGGCCAGCCATTATCTAATCAATGCAATGCATAACTATCTAACCTATCGAAGACTAAATTGCCAGTCCATATACACAACGCATTCACCATATACAAAATATAACCAATATAGGCATATCTATATAACCCAACAAATACACAATAAAATAAGTTTTGTTTGTCTTTCGTTCAACTGCGCACCCCAACTCCATTAAGGCGACACACATGCAATAAACTCTATTAAGGCGACATACACGGTTATGTAACCCATCATACATACAGCAATCAAATCCAATAAATGCACTACTATATATATATATATATATATATATATATATATATATATATATATATATATATATATATATATATATATATATATATGCGTGTGTTTTGTGTGTGCCTTTACAAGAGCCAGATCCGGCCAAAAATAAAGTACCGTTGTCATATTTCGGCGGAGCTGCCCAAGTATGACAACGGTCAGTCTCCAACCTTGATAGTCAAAAATCGTCCGCCAATTCAAAGCTTAATGGCAAGGACATGCCATGTCACTTACATTATGGCAAACCACCCACATTTCCTCCGTATTCTATTGGTGAGAATAAGTTCCAATCGAACAGCTTCTTCCTGAGAACCACTGCTCTGTGAAACCGACTCCCAAGAGAATGTTTCCACGATCACTACAAACTTAACTTGCTATCTTCTATTTCTATCCACACAAATTGCTTCCTAACGTAATCTTCTACCTCGAGTGACCTCCCAGCCTTGTGTTACTTTATATATATATATATATATATATATATATATATATATATATATATATATATATATATATATATCCGCAACTATCTAACCCACCAATCGACCTTAAAAGGAGAATTTCGTATTGGAGCATTTGTCCATACTGAGGTGTGTCAACTTTGAAAATCATAGTTCTAAAATTTATAATTTTACCCCGGTTCAAACCCCAATCTCTAGCACCATTAGACCTAAATGGCACCCTACTCTTTTAAGTCTTGCAATAAAAGTAAAACTAATGGCGTTTCTTGTCTTTAAATTTTAAAAAATATTACTTGCGGATTAAACAAATGTTCAAGGGGGGGGGATTTGAGTGCATGTTTTAGATTAAAGCCATAAAACTTGGCAAATAATCTTCGCATGAATATCTTAAATCTATGACCCGGAATTATACCCGTTAATTATAAAACAAACATGGACAACGCTATAAAATTGAAAGTGAAACAAAACAAAATTTGACAGATTCATTTCCTTGGAAGATACAAAGAAACAATAAAGTAATGAAAATAACGATTGTTTGACGAAATAAACGGATAGCATTTATTCCTACAAGCAGTAATCTGTTTCGAAAAGTCTCATCAAGAAATAAACGTGTTTCTCTCCATTGAATGAGTCACTCACTGAGATGGAATTGTGTCCCAGAATTGCTTTATTCAAGTATCATTAAATATTGAAATGAAATATCAGTGGATGAACAATTTGAAATTTCTATTTGTCATTGTTTCTCGTTTATTCCATCTTCTTTATTTGTTTCTGAGATATTTACCAGAACCACTCTTGTCAAATTCAGTGGGCGTTAAAGATTCAAATAAAATGGATAATGATGGCATTCATAAATCGTTCTGTTTTATGATAATGGTTCTAGAAATAGGCTGAAATGGTAAATTATTTCCAACTATTTATTTAATGTCATCATATACATGACTATAGCAATCGAGAGAAGACGCCATCGTGTATAGAATTATCAGATGGCAGCGAACTGGCTCGAAAAAAAAATGCATACCCGACTGGGTGAAAATAATGATTCAGTGGTAAGTGTGCAAAGCTCTACAAACAAAGCAGGACGTTACCTTGAAAACTGTCGAAGTAAAATCTAAGATAGTCGTTTAAAATTTATAAAATTTATCCAATCTAGAAAACTACACAGTTGCTGTAAACAAAGAAAGAAAATTCTTTCAATTTTTCGATGTGGCAGTTCAAACAGTTCTACTAAAGAATAACATAGAACTTCTGAACAACGAAAAAAATCGTAAGAAAAATAAGAGCTGCAAAAAACAAAAAGACCAAGCGTATACTTACAATCAAAAAGAAATGAAATTTGTGAGTCATTTAATGAAGAGAGATGGTCTAGAGAATTTAGCACAAAGGAACAGAGGGAAAAGCAAGTAACCTACCTAACGAGTTTGTGTACATTGATGGCAGAATAGGATCTGGCAGGGATAGTAAAGGGTAAAAGTTTTTATTAATGTACACCAAGAGCCACTCGAGGTAGATGGTTACTGAATGAATTTGTTATTTGAGCAGACAGAGTAAGAGACACAGTTTTTGAGGATATATAGGAAATATAACGGTTAATCCTAGACTTGAACAAGTTAAGATCATAGTGACCGGAGAAGCATTCTCTTGGGAGTCGATTCCACAAAATAGCCTGTCTTGGGAAGAAGCTGTTTGAGTGAAACTTACTTCTCACTAATGGAAGAAAAACAAAACAAAATTTGACAGAGGGAATGAGGGTACTTCACCTGGGTGTACACGCCATGGTGGGTCCTAGCTGTGAGAGTTGGTTTAATTAAGGAATGTAGATTGTCCGTCCATTATTCGCGGAAACAACGAAAGACTAGAAACAGGCCTGTAGTGTATCCCCTTTGAGAAAGGGATTGTAGAGTGGATTCCGCTTTGATGCTTTTGGACTCGAAAGTGGAGCGTGGGCAGCCACTGCTCATATAAAGCAGAAGTACTCCATTTTCCACCTGATCTGGCTGTTGTAATTAACCGGAAGAATCGGAGTATTACTGAAACGATACAGGGAACCGGCCATATTCTCAGCATCTTTTATCGATGGATCGTATTTACGAGTTCCACTTGTGGTGTCATCATAAGTTCCAATAGGCGTTCAAGACAAAGGGTTTCCCATGAGAGAACACTCGTTCATTGCAATAGACGAAAATTCGGGATGTGATCGGTGATGATGAAAAGCTATTTTTTTTTTAGATATTGAATGTGACCAGTTAGCTTTTCAACCGTTGAGGTGTTAGAGCTAGGTAAGAAGAAGGATCAGCTGCCAGGTACCAGTCATCTAAAATTTTGGAGGGACATCCATATAACGCTGTATCATCTGCAATAGTTGAAGAGTTTGTACAGCAATCCTTTATGCCACACCTTGTCATAGTCATTCGCTGTTTCTAATGTGATCTTTCTTGCTATTTATTTATTTTCTAATGCCTCACGAAT